TTAGAATATTTTCTTTCGTCAAAGTTTGATTTTATAACATAGCATTATCGTTTATGCGTTAAAAGCTGAAAAACCGAAAGTGAGTAATAATAAAGTACTGAATTAATAATGAAGTACTTTATTATTACTCATTTTTAGTTTTTAGGTTTTTGATAATACAAGGCTAAAAAGTTCCGAGTATTGGGATTATTTTAGTATATTATCGTTTTAGTGTACTGTACATTCCTAATACTGCTAAAATAATACTAAAACAATAATATTATTTTAGAAGTATTATGAATGCAAAATATTAAATTAAAGCAATAATAATTTATAATATTTTTTTTACAATTTTTATGCAAATTTAATATATATTAATGTAATAAGTGCAATAATTTAAATGAAACAAAACAGTTTATATTAATATGACGTAATGATATTTAACTTACTTAATATCCTCAGATGGTGTTGAAATTGTTTTAAAAAATTAATTAAAAACTAAAAACGTTGCAACCTTTTATCTGTTTCTTCTGCTTTTTTATGGGATAACTTTTAACAATTTAAAATTTTTTTATTTATATTCAAAATTTGTTTAAGATTGTGTTTAACTAACTATTGTTAGGTTAATGCTTGCTCGACTCGTATTATGCCATCGTTTACGTAGTCGTGGCGTGCATTGATGCTCTTAAACATTTTCTGTTTTTGAAATGCTTAACAAGGGTTGAAATCATTATGTAGTTTAGGTGCTTGCTAAAAGAAAGAAAGCGGAGGAAATTAAGAGGAAGGAAGTAAAATTCGCATCAACGGAATGGCATATCATCAATAAAAGGTTTAGCTCTTCTTCGTATTTCCTATTTATAGCCATTTTTTAAAAATAATGTGAATATTTAAATAAATTTAATTGGAATTTTAGTCAAAATTTTAATATTCTTAACTTAAGGCAGCTATTAAATTTTAATACAAATTATCGGATATTTTAAAATGTATTAGATTAATGATTTTATGAAAACGGCCTTATGAATCTATTATGTATGAAATGCCATTGAATTTCATATTATCGAAGATTTTAAAATATTCTATTCATTAAATTCTTTATAGGATTCATTAACTTATATTTTGAATTTTGAGCATAATTTCTTTCACGTTTCATTTCGTTTGGATTAATTATTTTGATTCAATTTTATTAAAATTAGAATTATCTTAATTAAATATTAAATAAAAATACGGCATCTTGCAATTCTATGACGGATTAACTGAATCTCTTATTAGTTTAATCAAATTATTTTAATTATAAAACGATTATTTCACAAAAAAAACATAAAAAATTTAAAATAGCTTTCTTTTATTTTCTTTGACATTTTAAAATTAATTTAATATTTTGAAAATTTATAAATTCAATTTTTTTAAATTCTTTTTTCTTCTACTTCTATCCATTTATTATTATATAAACGAATTTATTTTTTGAGCGAAGTTATGTTATTTCAATTTTTCTTACACAAAAACTATTATTTTTATGAAAGAATTTTCATTATAATAACCAAAAGGCAGACAATAAAATATATTTAAATGAACAATGCTTTTGGAATAATTAAAAATAATACTAATCAGAAGAAATTAAGAGCTGAATTTCAAAAGGAATGAAAAAAACGACATCTTAAAAAGATGAAAATTGACAAAATTATCAAAGAATGGATTAAATTGTCTCTTAAGAAACATTTTTACAAAAGTTTCGTATTTATTTAATTGAAACAACTCTAAAAATTCGAATAATAAATGATACATTTCTTAAGTACTAGGATTATTTCGTGGAATGATGTGTGATGAGTTTTTCAAAAAGAATTATACAATGACTTCGATTGAAAAATTATTATAACAAATTTGTAGGCGTTTTTAACACATAAACATGAAATTGCTAGGAGTTATGTCTTCTTAAATTGTTAAGATGAAATTTAGAATGTATTTGACTTTTTTCATACGTTTCTAACACCAATGGCCGAGTGGCTAAAACCATTAAACACTGATAGTGATCGTGAGTTCGCACCTGACTAACCGGTTGGCCATATGGAGTTTTCCGGATTTTCTTTACGTTTTCTTCACTTAAATAGGGGCCATTTTCCATAGAAACTTTTCTTGAGAGTTATCTCTTCTTGGCAGAGCACTTATGTGTTGCGTTGTCTTATTTCATCAATCCGAATTTTTCATATCTTATAATATAATTGAGATGGGTTGATAATAATAATCTATACTAATATTATAAAGAGGTAAAGTTTATAAGTTTGGATGTAGGAGGTAATCTCTGAAACTAATCATCCAATTTCAAAAATTCTTTAACCAATATTTAGAATGGACCTTCAGGGTGGACATAGTCTGTATATTATTCCGTTAAACATGCATATAAATTAAAAGATATAATCTAGGTAAGTGTTATATTTTTGGTGTCAGCAGTTGGCAAGGGGCAAGACGCATACTTATACAAGATAGGTAACCATGTGGCGCAGTCATGTGGTCAGTAAGATACTCAGTGCACGTGTCCGAACTTGTAGTATATAAAGTTGGGGAAAGTTGTAAAGTTGTAGTATACACGGGGAACCCATGCACATAAGTTTGCTTTATTCAAACTCTTAGTCTTAATGTTCAATTTTATGTTTGAATTCATATTTGTGAATGGTTTGAGAAGATCCAACTTATTTTTCGAATTTAGTAAACTAGAAGAAGAACCCAGAAGGGGTTACGAAAACATTTGTTATTTATCACTTAGTGGTCCTATGTACTAGTTAGTGGTTGCTTTGAATCTTAATTATTGTTATCCCAGTGTGGTAAGCAGATATCTAAAAATTTTCTAATTAGTCTTGGAAGAGGGGGACCTAATTCTTGCACTCAGTGAAAATGGGTAAGATCGACTATAATCTAATAATCTTAATCTTTCCTATTGTTTTTGTTCGAGCAACACTGGGCTCATCTGCTAGTAATAATAATAATAATAATACTGTTAACTGTTTGGGCTGTAAACCTTCAACTTTTAACTGTTAACTGTTTGTACTGTAAACCTTCAACTTTTAACTGTTTGGGCTCTTCACTTATGCAGAGCCCAAACAGTTAAAAGTTGAAGGTTGAAATTTGGTACACAGTTAGGGTACATCATGAGAATGTACTGTACACTAAGAAGGGATTTTTTGAAATTCCCCCTGCGGGGAAGAGGTTATTAACACTTTCCCTGTGGAGAAGTGTTAACAATGGAAGTGTTAAGAGAAAGCAATGTGCAAGATTTACAAGTGCAGATGCAGTTTTTTGCGTTTTTGCAGGAAATTAAACATATTTTTAGACCCATCTAAAAATTTTCTAATTAGTCTGGAAATGGGGGACCTAATTCTGCATTCTGTGAAAACGGGTAAGATTAGCTATAATGTAATAATAATAATCTTTGCTATCGTTACTTTTTGCCCGAGCAATGTCGGGCTCTTCTGCTAGTTATGTGATAATTTTGAAATTAATTGTTATTAATACATACTATTAAATTAACTGAAGACTTTAAAAACTATTTTATGAAATAATAACATGATTGTTATACTATATGACTGTTCATATCATTTGGAAATGTTATATTTTTATTAAAATGAATCTATTTATATATAAAAGATGAAAAACTATCTTTTGACATTAATTAACCTTAACTGAAGTAATAAAATACAAATATACAAAAATTAAAAATTAACAAGTATTTTTGATAAGTTAATCATTAAATATACAGATATCATTAAATTTACAGAAGTACTTGTAACCTTCTATACTAGAACAATATTATATCACTATTTCAATTAATTCTCTCTTTAGAACAATTCTACTATTCAATGCTTGTTTGCAAATCATTCATTTTATTTCACAAAACTTTCATATATTTGGCCATAAATGTGTTTCAGACTTTTCCTCCTTCCAGTTTTGTGCAATTTATTATTATGTTGGGTTTTGTGAGTTATACTCGGTTTACACTGGTGGCAGGGTACTATGCCGGACCAGAGTCAAGGCATAGTAACCAAAACAGAACAAAAATTAAAAAACTGTGTCAGTGTGTGTGTGTCTGTGTCTGTGTGTGTGTGTGTGTGTGTGTGTGTGTGTGTGTGTGTGTGTGTGTGTGTGTGTGTGTGTGTGTGTGTGTGTGTGTGTGTGTGTGTGTGTGTGTGTGTGTGTGTGTGTGTGTGTGTGTGTGTGTGTGTGTGTGTGTGTGTGTGTGTGTGTGTGTGTGTGTGTGTGTGTGTGTGTGTGTGTGTGTGTGTGTGTGTGTGTGTGTGTGTGTGTGTGTGTGTGTGTGTGTGTGTGTGTGTGTGTGTGTGTGTGTGTGTGTGTGTGTGTGTGTGTGTGTGTGTGTGTGTGTGTGTGTGTGTGTGTGTGTGTGTGTGTGTGTGTGTGTGTGTGTGTGTGTGTGTGTGTGTGTGTGTGTGTGTGTGTGTGTGTGTGTGTGTGTGTGTGTGTGTGTGTGTGTGTGTGTGTGTGTGTGTGTGTGTGTGTGTGTGTGTGTGTGTGTGTGTGTGTGTGNGGTTCATGGATGTCTAATAATTTGTGTTTGTTTGCAAGCTCTTGGTGTATTATGTTTGCTACTTGATTGTGTCTATGTAAGTAATCTGTCTGCGCCAAGAGCTTGCACCCAGATGTAATGTGGTGTATAGTTTCTGGCATGATGTGGCATTTTCTGTATTTGTCATTTGTGAGTGTTGTATCTTTGAATTTGTGTCTTCTGTAGTTTCTAGTATTTATGACCTGATCCTGTATGGTAATCACAAATCCTTCCATCTCCCCAAAGAGACATCCCCGAGCTAACCAGCTGTTTGACGCAGTTTTGTCAACAAAATCCTGGCCAGGTCATAAGGATGTTTGCCTTGGAATACCTTATGAGCCCACGATTGCTTAATGGTGTCTATGCTTTTTATATGTTGTGTTGTATCCGTATGATGTGAGTGTAAGTTTAATGGTGTTATTTGAGTCTGCTAGAGTTACTGCTTTATGTAACTGTGATTTTCTTGTTTTTTGTAGAAAAATTCTTGCAGTGACTATATTTGTTTGTAGTGAAGGTTAACTATGTCAATCAGACCATGTCTGCCATCTTTATGTGGAAGGGTTAATCTTTCTGTGGTGGATTTAGGATGATGTTTATGCTTATTATTATTATTATTATTATTATTTTTTTTTAACTATATAACTTTTATTATATATTCATTCTTCAGGCAGTATTAGGAACAAATCCCATTAGTGTTGCTGCTCCAGCAAAAGGAGATGAATTTGTTTTGGATATGGCTATGACAACAGTTGCTTTAGGCAAAGTATGTAAACTAAAAATTCTCAACTGAATAAATCTTAAACTCTTTAATTTCAAATTTAATGATTAAATCAATGCAATAAAATTAATTTTAATTTCAAAAAGGTTGAAATGCAATATCGTAAAAATGAACCCATTCCTGAAGGATGGGGTTTAAATAAAGATGGAAAGGTATGCTAAAATGCATTTTTTAAAAAAATTATTTAAATAACTATATTAATTTTAAAATATATTTAAAAAGATGACAACAGACCCAATGGAAGTATTCAATGGTGGTACTTTACTGCCCCTTGGAGGAGATGAATTAACAAGTAAATTGAAATATCTACATCACAATAAACTTTTAACGTAATATAATAAATTTGGAAAAAAATATTGTTTTTTACAGGTGGTTATAAAGGTTATGGTCTAGCTATGATGTCAGAAATATTTTGTGGTTTATTTGGTGATTCAGCTTATGGTCCTAATATTCGTACATGGTTAAGCACATCTACAGAAGCAAATCTGGTAAGTAAAATTTTTCTTTTGTTAAAACTAAGAAATTTATTCAATATTTATCACCACAAAATTATCTATTGTTTAGGGTCAATGTTTTGCAGCAATTGATCCAAATGTTTTTGCATCTGGATTTGAAGACAGATTGAGTGATTTAATGAACTGTTACAGAAAACAAGAACCTGTAAGAATAGATTCTAAATTTTGGATTTTACATGTCAACAAAACTGTTTATTATTAAATTCAAACGTTAAATTTTGAAAAATGAAAAATATTGGCAGTATTTAAAGAAAACTTATTATTTTAAATAATTTTGAATTTAAAAAATATTTTTTGATATTAAAATTTACATTCTTAAGCAGAAGACTGACTTAGCAATATGACAATAATCACACCCACTTTATGTACATATACAGCTTTGTAAATGTACCGAACAGGCTATGTAAAAATTTCGGATAATTATTTTATCAAATAAATATTACTGGCTATGAATTTGTAGACTAGAATCTTNTTTTAGAATTGCAATTTTGGTTTTGTAGATACAAATGCTGATTTTAGCTTAATTAGAAAAGCTGCTGCTAATATTATTTATACCTTCTTCATAAAGCATCAGTATTAAAATGTCACAAGATACAGTAGTTGATACATTCAGAAAAATAATTATTTTATCAAATAAATATTACTGGCTATGAATTTGTAGACTAGAATCTTATGGATTACAGACTCAAATTTGAATGGACTGACAAATTTAGCTTTGTGCAAAAGCTTTTATATATTTTTATTTTTACATAGTAAACAATTGGTCGTCACATTATTCTTCTCTATCTAACCAGTCATCTATTCTCTATATGCCTGAGACTGGTGTCTCAAACCACAACGGCAAAGAAAATCACATCCGTCAGCTTGTAAGTTACCAAAATCTTGCCAACTATTCCTCTATATGCCTGAGACTTACAAGCTGATGGATGTGATTTTCTTTGCCGTTGTGGTTTGAGACACCAGTCTCAGGATTATAGAGAATAGATGACTGCTTAGATAGAGAAGAATAATGTGACGACCAATTGTTAACCATGTAAAAATAAAAATATATAAAGGCTTTTGCACAAAGCTAAATTTGTCAGTCCATTCAAATTTGAGTCTGTAATCCATAAGATTCTAGTCTACAAATTCATAGCCAGTAATATTTATTTGATAAAATAATTATTTTTCTGAATGTATCAACTACTGTATCTTGTGACATTTTAATACTGATGCTTTATGAAGAAGGTATAAATAATATTAGCANACATAAAGTGGGTGTGATTATTGTCATATTGCTAAGTCAGTCTTCTGCTTAAGAATGAAAATAATTTTCTTTTGCACAATGATGTATATAATGACATTTTAAAAAATTAAAATTTACACTTTAGGTTGTTTCCTTTACACTATTAATGTGAAATTAATAAAAGAATATTTATCTTTTATTTTAAAAATATTTTATTTTTACGGTAATTTGTTATTTATATTAAGTACATAATTTATAAAATTTTGAACCAAGAACAACAAAATTTCCTCTATTTATTCTAATAATAAAAAATAAATATGAATTTTATATTAAAAAAAACCTATTTTTATAAAATACCAGGCAGAAGGAAAGGATGAAGTATTAGTTCCTGGTGATCCAGAAAGACAACATATGGCAAAATGTGATTCAGAAGGTGGAATTCGTTATCATTTAAATCAGATAAAATATGCTGTAAGTAACGAAATAGTGAAAATATAGAATAATATTTCATAAATATATTTTTAAACAATGATTTTAATTACAGAACGATTTAGCCAAGAAACTAGGAGTTGAACCTCTACCCACATCATAGTTTATGTACCAAAATTTATATGAAATGAAATAATTAATAACTCTAAAATCAACTTGAAATTTATATAATTTAAGTGAATATTTATATGAAACAACAGAGTAATTCATAAACTGAAAATATTTAAACAAGAATTAAAACATTTGCAATTGATTTTTATATGCATAGAAATTAAGTATATCTCAAAACTGGAAAAGACACTTCCATGGGTATGTTAGAAATGACCTTGGAAAGAGTTAAAGGAGTCAAGATATTCAACAATATTTGATGATGTGACAATTCAAATTGTTAGAACATTGAATGTTGTTAAACATCCTTAAACATGACTTCTTTAACCCTTTGAATTTGTTTCTAATATTTAAGTATATCTATTGTAAACAATTGTAGTATTGAGAATTGGCATTGTAAAAATAATTTTTTTACTGTATTCAAGACTGTTTCAAAACTACTTTCCAATGTCGATAGCTAAACAGTTATCAGTTCCAATGATACTTCCAAAGATTTATAAACAGCAATAATTTTTATAAATATATTATAAAATGGTTTTCATTTAATTATTACATACAATTTTTAAACTAATAAATTTCTGATATTTAATCCATGTTCAACCAAGTCAACCAACATATTTTTCCAGCAGTGAAATAGATGATTTAAGAATGTTTTTAATTACATTCATTAGTCTGCTTCAGATCTAACTGGAGCAAACTATTAAATGGTCTAATAATTTTTTATCTTTAATCCTCTTTCTCATTAAATTATACAATCCTATCATTGTAAAATATTCATTGGTCTGCAATTTTTGAAAATTATAAATTCCCAATGGTGTCTGTCTGTCTGTCCTTCCTTAATTTTGAGAACAAAGTTAGATAGATGAAAATCAACATCCGGTATGGAAAGCTTAGGAGCAGAAGGCTCCAATTAACTATATACAAACTTCAGGCCTAGTGATTTCAATTCAAATATTTTCTTCAGAATGGAGTTAGATAGATAATCAGAATGACACTACTCTTATCAATACAAGTATGATATGTAGGGGCAAGACACTACCAAAATCAAGAGCATATATTTTAAATTAAATAAATTAAAAATATGACTAAAAATTACAGCCTGGCATTGTAACGATGTCACAATAATTTTGTCAATTTTTATCAAATAGGTTCAGATAAAATAAAATAAAAACTAATCAAAGAAAAGATTCCAAGGGGTCTACGATTCTTTATGAAAAATAAATAAATAACGAGCAATTATTTATTGTGACATCATCACAATGTATTCTAGTTTAAATATATGTAATAACTTGTGGCTTATATCACAAAAACAGGAAAATTACACATATAAGATGACATTATGGTTACAAATCTATAGTTAAACACAGTTTAAAATAGTTATGAAGTTTGTAAATTATGATGGAAGTAGCAGAATTAAGGGATTTATAGAAAGCCTGACTCATTTAATTTGCTTAAGCTCCAGATCATATTTTCTGCTAACACCTTGGATAGTTTTGGGTGAGATAGCAGGAACAAAGTTGAATTATTATTATTATTATTTTTTTTTTTGCAAATATCATATGATAGCTGTTTTATGTATTTCCATAAATGTCTGTCTCTAATCTGAATAAAAATAATTTTGGTAGACTATCACACAGCCATCAGGTTAGGCACTTCTTTTATTATATTTCCATATACATTTCGGGCTTATTTAATTTCTAAGCCTAAGCTTATTTAACAATAACAAAGTGACCATAATTATACTATTATTATACCTGTTATTTAATAAAAGTAATGTAAAAGAATAGTCTTTATTGTTATTAAATAACGGGTATAATAATAATATAATTACGGTCATTTTGTTATTGTTTTTTAAAAAAGGTGTACCTTTGTGAATTTTATTGTCGTGTTTAAGAAAATCTTTTTAATGTTATCCAATATACGGCCATGGTTTGTGAAAACAGAAGTATCATATAAGTGTAATGGAAAATTTAAAAGTTGGTAAGCCCCCTTGTTTGGTATGATAAAAATTTTTTTGTGTCATTAAATATAATCTACGTGTGTCAAAATTGTTAAATTGATAATTGTATTTTAATTGTTGTTTTGTAGAATTACACTGAAGAGGGGCTTAGAAATTAAATAAGCCCGAAATGCATATGGAAATATAATAAAAGAAGTACATAACCTGATGGCTGTGTGATAGTCTACCAAAATTATTTTTATTCAGATTAAAGAAACAGACATTTACAGAAATAAAATATTGAAGTCTGTAGTTTTTACTTTATCAGAAACATAATTGAATCTATCAGTTTCAACATCAATTGTGTTTAAAAAGAACAGATTCCAGATTGAGTCTGTTTTTTAAACTATTAAGTCGATTATTAAACAAATTAGAACTAATTAGCTGTCTCTCTAAAATGGAAAATAAAAAGAAGCTATCTCTTCTATATATATTTTAATTTAGTAATTTTAATTTTAATTTACATTTTAATTTAGTAATATAGTAATATAATTTAAGCTTAAACAAGTGTAGATGTAAGAAAGTGATAAAATAATTATTTTTCTGAATGTATCAACTACTGTATCTTGTGACATTTTAATACTGATGCTTTATGAAGAAGGTATAAATAATATTAGCAGCAGCTTTTCTAATTAAGCTAAAATCAGCATTTGTATCTACAAAACCAAAATTGCAATTCTAAAATCAGAAACTAACTTTTTTCCTGAAAAATTACTTTCTAATCATATTCTGAAAAGCATATCTTCCAAACTTCACTACCATTCATATAATCTGTCTTCTATTAAATCTCGAGTTAATCAGATAGCATTGAAGAGGAAGTGTAATTATAACTATCTTGTTTTATCGGGTTTAAAAAATAGAAAGGAAAATTTATTCTGAAGAATTTTCACATGATTCAGATCATTTTAAAAGTTAAATAAATTTAAAAAATTGACCAGAGTATTAATTAAACAGATAGTTATATATCTTGAATTTAAATGTCATACAGAACAATCTCATAATATAATTATTTTCTATAATTATATATACATGTAAAACTAACTTCTACATATATTATTTTTATCTATGCTTGTCTTATGCCTGGATGAAAAAAGGAAGTAATTAATTTTAAGCTTAAAAATTAATCACAATCTTGGCCAAATCAAAATAAAGAATTTAAAGTGAATGACAAATCAATCATCTAAAATAATTGATTAAAATAATATGGCATATCCACAAATAACATTTAGTAATGACATTCATTTGCAGCAAAGAATAGACTAAGATCATCAAAGTAGTAATTGAGAATGTACATTTTATAAGACACTATTAACTGAAATGAGCTCAGGGTGCTGAAGGGGACTGAATTTAAATTATCTTGTTAAAGTTATTAAAGTTGAATAGGATAAAATTTGAAGAAGTATAACTATTAAAGTTTGATGCAAGAAAAAAAAAGCAGGCATTCTGATAGATGAAGAAATCAAAAGAAAAAAATTAAGAAATAAAAAAAGTAATGCATCAATAGAAATTATATATCTTAAATTTAATGATTATTTTGTGTGTGATTAACTTAAGAAATTTAACATCAAAAACTTAAATATCCAATATGAAAAAAAATAAAAACATGTTTGTTAATCAAGGATTATGGTATATAAAAATTTTCTATACTTTTAGAATATATCACACTCTTCAATTTCAAAGGATATACAAAAACTACAGGAATTCCATGTTACACTATACAGTAGAATCTTGTTTTAATGGATTGTTTGGACTGCCAAAAATAATCTGTTGTTCCAAACATCCATTATATTGCAAACAGTGGATTTCTCAGAAACCCAGGAAAAAATCTATTATTCAAAAAAATTTGTTTTTAACCCCCTACATATAAGAAGTACAATTACTTAAAAGTATTCAGTCTCTTGAAATCTCTACTCTTTATATAACAGAAACAGGTATGTTACAAGATTGTATATTATGCTATACACGTGTACAACAAAGCTAAAAGCACAAAAAGAGGCAAATTACATATGCTCATTAACACTTCACTTGACTTCATGATTTGTTAAAAAAAAACTCATCCATCTTGATTTGTTTTGCTGTGGCTTTTCTGCCTATTGAATACAATAACCACTTGATATTAGCAAGGTACATGTACAGCTTGTTCATTTATGTTGAAACTTATCAGGAGAGTCTTCATGACTTGGAAAGAATCGCTAAATTTTGCACTACACTTGGACTAGCATCAGAATATCCATCAGGTGGCTCCTCCTCAATCATATCAGCCTGTTGACTCTTTTCATACACTTCTTCAATTGTACATATCCCAGATATAACAATTACATCATCAAACTACAAATTCCCAGAAACACCCAAATATTAACTAAATTTTGAAAAACAAATTTTACAATAGATGGGACTAGAAAAAAGATCTGTTATTCCAAGTTGTGGATTCACTAAAAGGAAGTAAAGTTATTAGGTTGCAAATGAAATGGCAAATTTTTATTTATGACTTTGAACATTCATTAATTTAATTTAAAACTTACATATTTAATCAAAATTGTCTCCATCAACATTAATACATTTTTTCCACAATGAAACAGAAATGCATTAATGCCAATTTAATAGAAATCATGAGTATGAGAAGCCAAAAAGTCAGTAAAGGTACTTTTTATTGTATCCTCTAGCTTGAAGACTTTCCTTGCCAAAAAACCGTCCAAATGTATAAAATAAGTGAGTCTGTTGGCAAAAAAATCTGGAGAAGAAGGTGGATGGGGAAGAATTTCATTTGAATGTTTTCATTTTTGTGACAAATAATTAAAGAACTACAGACCTCCAAAATGATGCTCCTTATCTCTGTCACTGAGTTCGTGTGGTACCCATTTGTCAAGCTTCTTGACTTTTCCTAACATGTTTAGATGTCAAGAAATGGCTGAATAATGTCTAGTATGTTCAACCTTTTCATGATTTCCCAGACAGTCAGATGATGTTCTGATTCAGTGATATTCTTCAATTCTGATTTTTGAGATTTGTATTCCTGGAATGAAACTTTTTGAACCAATGCCTAGTGGCCTGCTCACTCACAGAACCTTCACTAACAGTTTTACTACTTTTTTAGGTTGCTTCAGCTGCATTATGTCTACTTATACTCATAAAAGTATATTATTCAATTTTCTTTTCTTCCATGTTGTCAGAAAAAGTACTCTTAAACATGTGGAACTGAATATAAATGAAATTACTAGATATATAAGAAATTTACTTCTATTTTATGCCAATATCTTACAATAATAACAAAATTTTACTGTCTGTTTGTGAGTCCCTGGAAATAGCCCCCCCGAAAAAAGGAAAGATATGTAAAAATTTGTTAAGTTAAACCAAGAAAACAAATTATATAAGTGTCGAATTGGTGACACTGGACTTTGATGTCAACACTCATAAAGAGTAGAGGGAAAAACAAAATTTTAGATATAGAAAAAGAAAATTTAAATTTGAAAGTTAAGATGCAGTTTAGAAAGCAAAACAAAACTTGAAAAATATCAGAATGAGTGTATGTGTCATATTCATCGATAAAACATGACCAGAGTCTAAAGGAAGGTGTTGAATAGACCATTTCTAGCTGACCTTTCTCGCACCCTCAACAGAGCTCCATTTACACCTGGAGACAGGTGGGAGACCAATTGGGAAGCGAGAAGAAAAAGGTTTAACCAATTAGCAATGCTTTGAACCCGAGAAGATTATAAAACTGAATTCAAGGACAAATAGAGACTTCCACTAGACCACTTGTCGTAATCGTTGTCCTCTTCTCTTGGTGCTTCCGCTCGCTGCTGTCTTGTGTTACTTTAATACTCCGAACTTTAACTCGCCATCACCCCGGGGCTCCACTGCCGCTAGACGAAAAGAAAACTACTAGAGACATCCAACTGCCAGAACAGCGACATCTGGGACTTTATCAATCATTTGTAACCACAATCTTTGAAAAAATAAATGGTTTGTTTGTGAAACGCTCGTCTTTTGCTTCCTCCTCAAAACCGCCACCCACATACGAAAAGATCTTAAGCCATCCCAACATTAGGGAATAAAAACTTCCCCCCAAACGGTGATCTTTACATGTTGGTTTTAAATAAGCTATCTTATTTAACACTAACAGACAATAAAATTTTGTTATTATTAAATGAGATTACATTTTTAGTTCATATACTTTGTCTGCTCTTCCAATTGCAAACATACAGCACTGTTCACATGGAAAATATTGTTGAACTTTTTAAAATTAAACTTTCTGGTCTTGTAAGCCAGAAAATTTAATTTTAAAAAATGGCCATTTCATTTATAACAACCTAATACATTAATTTGGCAGGATCTGAAAAAACTCATTATTCCTTAATCCATTAAAATTAGATTCTACTGTATTTAGAATAACTTCTATTTTGAAAAACTAATTAGACACTATATATTTATAAGACTTTATGGAATCTCAAGATAATCATATTGATATATTTAAAAATAATTTCTTTTCCCAATTTGTCAAGAAGATACAAGTAGTCAAGTAGGTAGTAATTATTCTTTTAGGAAAACAAAAATATTTAGGAAAGTAATTGATCAATCAAAGGTATATTTTGAAAACTAAATATTTTTATAATTTAAAAAAAAAAAAATGCATAATTATATCAAATTCTATTCTTTATAGTTTTTTTTATGCAAGTTTAATATATTTCAGAGAATTGAAATACATTAAACTTGCATAAAAGAAAAATTCTTTATCTTCTTCAGACTGAAATAATTGTTTTTGTAACTTTAGACTCTAGTAATTTTCATTATTTAATATTTGAATGACAATGCAGACTTTTTTCATGAGAATAAATTAGACATGTAGTTTTTAGTGACTTATCTTTTTATAATTTAAATAATTTAAGATGCATTTTAAGCTAATGTATTTATTTTTTCTCCAATTTATTTATTTTTTTCAAAAGATATTACAGTACGTAAGACGGTAGATACGTTCCGTTCTTTATGAATCAATTTTGTAGGAATCATAGTTTACAGACTACGGCTGTTTGAAAGGTTTTCTTTCATAAAATTAATCGATTCTAGACTAATTCGACTCAACATTTCCAAAATACGTATATTTTTTTGAAAATAATCCGTATAAACTACGTTATAAACAAAAAATTGTAGGATTGCTTACCGAGTGTGTACCGTTCGACTACGCCCGTT